TGAATGGCCGACAAGAGGTCAGATTTGATGGAACTGCAGACATCACCTAACTGATGTAGGGTTTGGTGAATCCCATTTCAATAAATAGGGTTAAACCCACTGCAACTTTGGAGATGAAGAAAATCCCCGCAAAACAGGGCCTAGTTTTTCTGTCTCTACACCAATCGACAACTTTCAAAATATCTATCAGAGGTAGATGTTCGGTCTAAGCTTGACAATGAACTCATAAACTTGTATAATATTAAACAATGAGATAACCAAATTAAATGTTTACATCAATCAGTCTAAGTTTGGTGTAGATATAAACAGGTCTAGAAGGGGTCAGACAATTTTCCAGCTCTATAACCCCTTTTACTACCATGTCCCGGTAAAGCGGTCCATCTCGCTCGTGGCCGCGATAAAATATTCCCATTTACATAAGAGTTAAATCAATCAGTCCGACAATGGTTCTTCAATTGTAATGTTCATGGAAACGGCACACTTATATGTGGAATTCTTCTTGAAGAAGTTGAAATAAGTCTGTGTAGTCAGGTCAAGGTCAAAGTAAAGGTCCTTTATATAGAACAAATGCTAGGAACGCTTGCCTGGTTACAATACACAAAATTCATCCATTCCTTTTTTAAGAACTTACAATTTTGTAATGTTAAAGGGATTGTAAAGGGGTTTTACATTTTTTATGTGTATCGAGGACACTGATAGCATCAATTTACACCATTCCAATTTTCAATTACATTTGTGGTTCCTGTAATTCCACTAAAACTAAATATTTGATGACGACACTACTAGCGAAATGTCTTATGGAATAAATCATTTTCTGATTGAAAATTGGAATAGTGCAAATTTGATGCTATCAATGTCCCCGATACACACAAAAAATTTAGAAAATCTTTTTACAATCCCTTTAAAGGGGTTTTTACATAATTCATGTTTTAAGTCAAATATTTCCAGTATGCCAAAAAAAGAACATGGGAACATTTTTTTTGTTTTTCACGAGCCCTAATACCCTTAATCACTATCAGAGCCTGAACAGTTTCAGTTTGAGAATTAGAGCAATGTAAACTGGGATCTTCACGACAAAAACAAGTAAATCAAAACATTCTCATCATTTCATTCAAACGTCCATCAAACTACAAGAAGGCTTCAAGTATTTTTAAGGATCAATGGAGGAAAAGAAAAGAAATTATTTTTCCAAGCGACTGATTCCGTGTAATTTTGATATAATTGAGTTGACTTCATAATAAATCAATTATTCCAAAAGATGAGGCCATTATCAAAATATTTTTTAATAATAATTGAGATATTTTTTGTGGTAAAATACGGACGTTATGGTTAAGTGGACATGATAATGACCTTGAGACAAAACTTACTATGAAATTGTAGAGAATATTTGATTGTGAGATCAAGGGTCACAAACCAAAAACTCACAGGCCTTTTGTTATATCAAGTCTAGTCATTCATATGAGACAATAAACCGAGGCCCTGTGTGCTACAGGCTGTGCACGGTCAAGATCCCTTAGCAGTTGGAAATTGAAAAAGAGTAGGCTAATGCCACTGTACTTGCAAAATTTCCCTAATTGCACACTGCATGGCATTGCCTTTCTTAATTAACACACTTAGGTGCAGAAAGCCGTAAAACTCCATTTATTTCATTTCAAAATTTGAAAACATCAGAGACAACCATATATTAATCTGTTAGTTCCATATCGCCCCGTCGTCAGGGTGAGGACCGTGGGGGCTGGGCCCCAGCAAGTGAGAACTAAGCCCCATTCATTTACAGTGTTTTTGTACAAGATCTAAAAGATATAGATTTTGATACGTTTTGGCACCTCAAAATTGTCAGAAATGATTTCTCTGAGCCTTTTATTCTTCAAATTTTCTGAGTATTCAAATTTTCTGAGTACAAAATCTGAGCCCCAGCACCAATTCATTCCAGGCCATGGGGCTGGTCCATTCTACATGAAGACCACCAAAGACTGAATATATCAAGAGTGTCAAATCTAGCAACTACTAACTAGTATTAGGACATTACTTGATTCAAAACAAACACGAAAATAAACACAAACACACACCTTTTTCAGCAAATAACCAAATAGAAATAATTCCTTGGCCTTATATAAATAGATAAGAGCTGACAAAGGTAACTGCGGGTGTCACACTTGAAGCAGAGCATGGTTACTCTTTTTGAAACACCTGATGATACTTCTCTTTGGAGGAGTTCACAATTATACAACTTTTACTCATGATTTTGTCAATCTTTGGAGAAGATTTTTGATTGACAGAATTGTCTTTCTTGTACAGATTTTTATTTCAGACACAAAAATTTATCAGCATTAGAACACAATTTTTCTAATTGACGGTTGTATGCTAATCCTAGCCATATATTCACACTATAGTCAGACATGGCTGGCTAATGAAAATGAGCAGAAAAAAATTTAAGCCAAATTTGGGGGTGAGACACAACATTTTAACCCTAACAGAATTTCTTCTCAAAATTCTAAACGCAAACTTGAACTTTTGTTTTTAGAAATTTAACTCTACATGTGAAATTTGTTTAAACTCAATCGTGGGTCAAATTCAAAATGTCGTCTGCACACCTTCTGGTGTAAATTGCGACTCAAAAACAACAATTTGAAGTGAGGAATTTAGTAGGTTTAAAGGTGTGGCTTTTGGAGGCAAAATTAGACCCTCCTTTCATAAATTTTGGACAGTGCATTCAGGAGACAATCATGTTGTCAATCATGTCTGGTATAAACTTGGAGGTGTGACACAGGACAAAAACATGGGTCAAACTTTTTACCTTACCTTGTTTGTTCTATGACCCATGAATTAAGAATTTGCTCGAATTTTTCCATCATTGGACTGGCACTTTTCATCAATATGATAGGACTTAACACTGTGTTGCAGACAGTAGTCTATTTAGGGGGAAGACCAATAGGCCATGGCTTTCCCCCTTCGGCCTGTGATTGGTCTTATTTTGTGAAAGTGAAAATTAACCCCTCTTAATTCTCAAATTTCATCTCAAGTCATCTGAAATCTGCTGGCGTCTGGGGGCCTCTGTCAGCCCTCAGTTCCTCAGGCTCAAGCGGCATCTGCCTTCAGGAATTTCTAGATACTAGATGGCTGCAGATCTGAACCAACAGTTTATGTAAAACTACAACACAACAATTCCTGGTCATGTTGACCATACAAGATGGACAATGCAGATATATTACTTCCTTGATGAACATAATTTAACTTTTTCATACCAAAGGTCAAAAAAACTACAAAAATTAATATCCTATGAGATCAAACGAGTAGAAAAACACCCAAGAAATTTCAGATCTTTATGTTAGTAGCCTTAACACTGTACATTTGTTTTTTTTCTTTAGTGGCTCTCATAAAATAGTGATCACCACTTGCCTATGTTTGAGAATAAGAATAACAGTCATTAGTTTCGAATGCAACTCTCATGCAAATGAGTTGTGAGTTGCATTCGAAACTCATGACCACTTTCATTATTCGCAACCATAGCAACTGGTTATCGCTAAGGTGTGAGGGCACCTTTAGAACTGAATATGTTTTTTTTATATATTTTGTATTTTGTTTGGACAAACAACAAGTATATCAAATGTAGAAGATTGAAAGACTGTGAAATGGAAAGAGTTTTGTAATATTATTTGTAAGCCTTTAAGCGATACAAATAAGCAAGCTCACTGAACAAGAGCTGTGTATTATACAGCCCCTAAAATCAAGCTCGTTAACACTCTAGAAAATAAATATTCAATCTTCAGCGCAGGACTGAGTAATAAAAGCAAGTATTGTCAAAATCCAGCAACAATCATGCCTGTTAGTGTTTTAGAGCTAAATTTGAAAGCATTTTCAAGAACAAGGGCAATAATTTATACTAAATATTTTTTGATTCTTCTGATTTTCAATAGGCTTTATCTTTGGGTGATTACAAACATTCATACCAAGTTTTGTCAAAATCAGTCAAGAATTGTGTCTTGTAGAGTGTTTATGAGCAATTGTAGACGGACTGAACTACGGACATGGGTGACTGCAATATAAAAATAAGAGTATGTTAAGGAATTTGACACTTTTATGTCATTTGCAATTTCAAAATGGGCCCAGATTTTGTGCAAAAAAATATCAACTCACCCTTATCTAATTGGTCTATCTCCTCCTCACTACAAGTAACATTGTGGTAATTCTTGTCGAAAACTCCCTGAACACTAGCTCGGAATTTATGTCCACTGTGAACATTGGGAAAGGAACTGGAGAGAGAGGGGTCGTACCCACTGTCTAACTCACTATCAGCTGAAACACAGAAAAATACCCAATTAATGGTGGGAAAGGAACTAGAGGAGAGAGAGAGAGAGAGAGAGAGAGAGGGGTCGTACCCACTGTCTAACTCACTATCAGCTGAAACACAGAAAAATACTCAATTAATGGTGGGAAAGGAACTGGAGAGAGATAAATACCCAATTAATGGTGGGAAAGGAACTGGAGAGAGAGAGAGAATACCCAATTAATGGTGGGAAAGGAACTGGAGAGAGAAAAATACCCAATTAATGACTAATAATTGGGCAACATCTTGTAGTGAGCAATGAGGAAAATTTTCAAAACAGCAGTATTCAATCCACTTTTCTTAGATATCTCATGTTTTGAATTGCTGGACAAGTCAAGGGAGAAAACTCTTTGCAAAATCAAATTATCTCCCTTTAGTCTCCAGACATAAAATAAAGAAATTGAAACTGGTCTGATGTAGAGTTTAATGAAGGCGCTCGATTGGTGAGTTCCGCATGTTCGGGATTCATGGAATCAATAAAACAAGTTGGAACAGAGTTCAGAACACTTTTCACATGTGCCGAAAAAATTATAGGTGCAGACGTAACTCAAGAAGGTGGAAATTGAAATAGATGGGGGGAAACATATTCTGCTTCCACTCCATTCGATTGATGACAGAACAGGAACAGACAAAACCTGTTCAGAACTCACCAATCGAGTGCTACCAATGAAATTTAAACTGGTCTGAGTTTCAACTTACAATAGCTTTTTCTCTTGTAAAGTGACCTGACAACCTTCGCACTTCCAAATCTTTTAAACCTTCTACAAACACTGGTATAAAACCAATCACAAGACTTGTGCTTCAAATCCCTGAAAAATTCAAATAGTTTGGAATCACTTTGACAGTCTTGCAAACAGACAAACAAGCCTGAGATTGAATTTGAAAAGCCTTTGTTAAAGGTATACTACGTCTCAGAATGACCAAAAATTTTAAATTTTTAAACTTGGTTAAAATGAGTCTTTACTCATCAGTGGACTTACCTGGTGTCATAACTATACAACAGAATCTCTCTATAATCTAATAAATCTATAAAAATAAGTAATTTTGAAACACGCTTAGAAGTGTATTTCAATAATTATTTAGTTTAATAGATATATCATCTTATATAGAGATTCTATTCTTTAGTCTTGACACCTGGTAAGTCTAACTGATGATTATATACTCTTATTGACTAAGTTTGAGACTTTAAATTTTATGTCCATTCTAAGAAGTAGTATTCCTTTAATTTCTAGACAGAGCCAGACAGAGCAAACATTTTCTGTGTGTGCACCTAGCTCTGGACTCTATTTGGTTCTTCACTTTCTACTTTTAAAGGGATTGTAAAGGGGTTTTCTAAATGTGTATCGCGGACACTGATAGCATCAATTTGCACCATTCCAATTTTCAATCAGACATTTGTGGTTCCCGCAATTTCATTAAAACTAAGTTTTTGATGACACCACTAATCACATATTATGATTTATCACATAGGGCCAAAGTTCGCGATTAGTGACATCATGAAATATATTCATCTGTAGGCGTTAAAAACATTTTACTCAAATAACAAAGCTACGAACAATTGCCCTGAAGTCCAATTTTAAATTTGAGTATAATATTTGTATTCAGGATGTTTTTCATGTCAAAGTAACTGTATAGTTTACTACATCAAGTTGCACATTACAAAATCTGTTTTAGGTATTTGTCTTATTCAAGATGTTTAGTCATGCATGTGGAATGCATCTTCATTATTTAAACTTGTTTACATACAATTTATCTACATATCAGCAAATTTTCAGAGATATAGTGATCTAATTAGTTGCTTTATCACTTTAATTAATTGTAGACAGAGCTTAGACTTTCTGAAAGGTAGCTGACTTCAGTCTCTATCAGTTAAAGGGATTGTAAAGATGTTTGAAAACTCTTTATGTGTATCAGGGACACTGAAAGCATCAATTTAAACCATTCCAATTTTCTATCAGACGTCTGTGGTTCCTGCAATTCCACTAAAACTAAATGTTTGATTAAGTCACTAAGCACAAAATATACTTATCACATAAGGCCCCTCGTGATTAGTGACGTCATCCAACACTTAGTTTTAGTGGAATTGCAGGAACCACAGACGTCTGATAGAAAATTTGAATGGTGCAAATTGAGGTTATCAGTGTCCCCAATAAACATAAAATTGAGTTAACATCTAGACAATACACCCATAAAATCAGTGAACAATGCAATAGTTAGCTTCAGCTAATTTTTGCTCGTACCCCTAAAAGCTTATTCTGAAATTTGACCTCAATTTCCTAAAATAGCTGTCCTGATGAGGATTATTTATCAGAAACAGTAAGAAGCATGAGATGAGATCTAGTCAGTTAGTTATATCTCTCTTTCAAAGAAACCAAATTCAAAGCTATTTGGAGTTACCTACCTTTGTTCAAGGCAGAAGTTGCAGGCGTAACCACGAAATTCTTTAAAATATACTCGGCATGATTTACAAACGTTGAATTCACAGAGTCGACAAATTTGACGTCTGTTGAAAATCAGACCAAAAGGTTGACAACATCTTATACAGCAACTCTCGTTAAATTTTTTCTGTTCGGCTAAAATAGTTTGCTTCTGCTTTTCTTGGTCAACCTTTTCTTCAAGAGTTCTACAAAATACAAGAGAAGACATCTTACGTTACTGCACTTAACAATTCATTGGGCTTGTGAAACACCAGAAGTGGGTAAAAGCAGAAATTTTGCCTGGACAGCGACAAAACCATTATGATTTCCGATTTGAGTTTTCTGTAGGTTACTTGCCATCCATGATCCAAAGTAAGCTATAAAGTCTGTATTGGAGGACTGAACACAATTTAAAGAAAGTTTTCTTCAGATCACAGATGGCAAATCTAATAACTCAAAAACAAAACTCTAGGAGTGATATCAATTAGGTGTGTGGGGAGGGGGGATTTTAAGGAAAAACCAAACTCCTGCCTCTGGTTTAACAAATTAATTCAGACAAGCTACGATTAATTGTGCTTGTTGTAATTCTAAATAATGTGCATAAAAAGAGTCCATAAGAATTCCTACTAGTCTTAGGATTTGAAATGGTTACAAAAACCTCATAAAATATATGCTTTATCATATACGGCCCTTTGCCATTAGTGACATCATCAAACACATAGTTTTAATGGAATTGCACAAACCACAGACATCTGATAGGAAATTGGAATGGTGCAGATTGATGTTATGTTTATGATACACATAATTAAACTCAGAAAACAATATACAACAACTTTATACTTTGCAATTATAAGATTTAAGATCTTTCATGAACGCCGTCTGTTACTTACCCCAACCTCTCTTTTTCTTTCTGTCTCAATGTAAAATCTTTCTGTATAACAGCTAAAATCTTCTCACATTCTTCATCTGTTAAATTCTCTATATTTAATCTTCGACCCATTTTATCTAGAATAGAATGAAAGAGTTTTACATCCTACTGTACTGAAACATCATGTTTCTTTGAATCTTAAGTCAGCTTATTCTTGAGACATCATAATATCTGCACAGTAGTGTTGAAACGGTTAATGAATTTTACGAACCGGGTAATCGTTGGCAATAACCGTTTGTTACCTGGTTAATCCTGGTTAATTACTAAAGATTATAAAAGGAGTCAAAAACCACATTTCTGGCGGTAACTCACCGTTAACTAAACTAGAGTAAGTGTAAATGAGTACCCAGGAAGATTTTGGATAGTTCCCAGTGAATTGTCGGTACAGATCAACAGATACCAAACAACCCGCGTCTGCTTCAAAGTAAGATTTCATGACAGAGTTCAGACGGACTCATTGCTACAGTCTCTAACAGATCAAAGGTTTTTACATCAGTTGTGGGGTCAGTGTAATGAGTGTATCTCATTGGAGTCACCGCGAATCAGTGTACTGGTTCCACAACTGGTATAAAACTAATAGTTTTTACTTCTTATAAAATTGACGGTTAACCGATTATCTCAAATCAGACCCGGTTACCCGTGAAATACTACCCGAAATCGGTTAACTGATTAACTGTTTCAACACTACTGCACAGAGGCTTCAAATAAAGTGGTATCGCATCGCAAAATCCAATATTTCCTCCGATTAGCCAAAATAAAAATTTATCATGACGATCCACGAATCAAATCAAATTATATATTTGAAGGTTTTCTTTGGAGCATTTTAAATTGCTACCAAATTATTATGAAATGCAAATCAAAATTCAACTTTTAGCCAAAACTTTTAATTGGTTTGACAGGTTGCTAATCAAATCTTTCAATCTAAATCAAACCCTGAGTTTGTAAATAAGGCTGTGGAATTGATAAAAGTCCAAATTTCCGTGGTACTATTGTATTCATTGCAGGAGAATTCTGAAAGTACTTATAGATGAAATTAAGTTCTATCAGCTGGTAAAGTAAATATTTAGATGATTATACAGAAAGCCAAAATTGAGCTCTATCAGCCAGAAAAGTAAATATTTGGATGAATATACAGATAGCCGAAATTAAGCTCTATCAGCTGGTAAAGTAAATATTCAGATGATTATTCAAATAGCTGAAATTGAGCTCCATCAGCTGGTAAAGTAATTATTTAGACGACTATACAGATAGCTGAAATTAAGCTCTATCAGCTGGTAAAGTAAATATTTGGATGAATATACAGATAGCCGAAATTAAGCTCTATCAGCTGGTAAAGTAAATATTCAGATGATTATTCAAATAGCTGAAATTGAGCTCCATCAGCTGGTAAAGTAATTATTTAGACGACTATACAGATAGCCGAAATTAAGCTCTATCAGCTGGTAAATTAAATATTCAGATGATTATTCAAATAGCTGAAATTGAGCTCCATCAGCTGGTAAAGTAATTATTTAGACGACTATACAGATAGCTGAAATTAAGCTCTATCAGCTGGTAAAGTAAATATTTAGATGACTATACAGATATCAGAAATTGAGCTCTATAAGCTGGTAAAGTAATCATTTAGATTACTATACAGATATCTGAAATTAAACTCTATCAACTGGTAAAGTAAATATTTAGATAAGAATATACCTTTAATAACAACATTGTCATTGTAACAAATCATCTGATGAATATTTGATGCATCACAACTCATAAAAATATCATTTACATTAAAATAGATTGACACTAGATGTTATGATACTTGAAGATGTATGGGGATGGGATTTTTTTTTATCTGCGAAGACCCAAAATGATAGTGTAAGATATATAACGAACATAATGTTCAATTCCACAAAAAATAGATGATGTCACTAATGGCAAAATATGCTTGTATCACATAAGACCTTTCGCGATTAGTGACGTCATCAAACACTTATTTTTTTTGGAATTGCAGGAATCACAGACATCTGATTGAAAATTGGAATAGTGCAAATTGGTGCTATCAGTGTCCCCGATACACATACAAATTTTAGAAAACCTCTTCACAATCCCTTTAAAGGAGGAATAGATGTTGCTATGACAATACCAATATATGACTAGTGGTAATCATGTCCCACAGATAAAATTATTGGCGATATAATTCAGTCAATATACAATAGAAAATCCATTATTTGTGGTTTTATTTCTCATAGACTCACAATTTCCTATTTATTAAATGAGTAAAATAATGCCATTCAAAAGCATTTTAACAACTGAACTATTAATTTAATGTAGCTCTAGATATTTCATTTCATTTGAATGTTTGCTATTAGAAATGATTAGGATATGAAACCTTTATCAGTATATCAGGTGTCGAACTTAGTTACTCAGGCACAGTACAGAACTTCCTTTGAAGAAAGTACACATCTCTGTCAGAACACCTGCTTCCAATGTGTGAGTGAGTTTGTCAACTTGGCATCTCTTTCAGAGAATACACACAGCTGATAATTCCTTCCACATATCAATGTTTATCCCTGTAAGAAACTCTGCATAACTGTTTACTTATCATCCATTTCAGAGAGTCCACAAAATTTTTCTACTTGTTAACCCTTTAATAGAGTCCACATAGCTAATAAGGTTTGCCAACTTGTCATCCCTTTCAGAGAGTCAACATGGCTAATGTTTGTCACATGTCAGTTCTTTCAGTGAGTTCACATAGCTAACAAGGTTTGTCCATCCCTTAAGATAGTCTGCTTATCAGTCCAAAAGTGACTATAGTGGGTTGGACAAAAATCAGGATGTAAAACTCCATGTCATGAGCCGTTGGAATAACTGTTAACTGGGTCACTGTTTGTCCTTGAAGACAACAATAATTGTTATAGATTTTATAGTCAGAACTTGACAAAGGCTGTTTATTTTGTCATTAAGAGAAATACAGTCAGAAGATAAGAATTCTGTTCTCTGACTATCATGTTTCAGTTTCCAGACTGGCTCTAAATTCATTCCGCTTCTGGATATACAACTCTGGTCATATGTTACTACAGATTAACTATGAACTCTCTGAAAGATCTGACAAACATTGTGTACCCTCTGCAAGGGATGACAAGATGACAAACATTAACTATATGGACTCTCTAAAAGAGTCAGTAAAAGTTGAAATTTAACAGTAAATTTTTCAATATAGGAGGATTAGCTTTTTTCCCCAACTGCTAAAGGTGTGGGCACATGAACGATCTTGGTTGGAGATTTTTATCGCCAACTAGAGTCTTGTCAAAAGTTTCACTGGCACAGGCACGCGAGGAGACAAAAATCTCCAGTCGGTCTTTTTCCACCATGTAGATTATCATGTGTGGATCGTGCAATTGAAAGGAAAATGAATCTGATTGGATGATGATGGTCTGTTTTGCAGATGATAAAACTATTGGCGACAAATATCAAACTTGTTTGATATTATAAATCCTGTCAGGGTCGTGATAACCTTGAAGTGGAAGTACGGGCATACGCAACATTTTACTCAAGACTTTAATCGGCAACAAAGATCTCCAACCAAGACCGCTTGTGCACCTTAAGGTATCTTTAACAAGCATAAAGCCTGATGCAAATGAGCCCAATTCCTACAATTTAGCTGCAGCAAAAATTGATCATGACTGTTTCAATTCCAAATTTTCCTTGCCTAAATTTATCAAATTTGTGCATATTTATCTAATCTCTTCTGCATCCTTTAAACACTAAAAAAATCTATTTTACCTAGAGCATTGTAATAATTTTTTCATTAAGATTCTAATCTTTTTATTCATTATTCATGATCTTAATCTATTCAAAATATATTCACGAATAATCTAAATATTTCTTGTACCAAATGAATAATTCATGAAGCTCTTTAATCATTATGCCTACATGATTAGTCAACTATGTAAGGTTTTAAGCAATGACAGATTTCAAGATAAGTGACGTTATCAAACACCTTGTTTTGGTGGAATTGAAGGAACCACAAATTGATTGAAAGAGAGTTGTCAGTAGAATGGTGGTTATAGAGAATAACAGGAGAGGGTTGTCTGTGGGATTGTGGTTATAGAGAATATCAGGAGAGGGTTGTCAGTAGAATGGTGGTTATAGAGAATAACAAGAGAGGGTTGTCAGTAGAATGGTGGTTATAGAGAATAACAGGAGAGGGTTGTCTGTGGGATTGTGGTTATAGAGAATAACAGGAGAGGGTTGTCAGTAGAATGGTGGTTATAGAGAATAACAGGAGAGGGTTGTCAGTAGGATGGTGGTTATAGAGAATAACAGGAGAGGGTTGTCTGTGGGATGGTGATTATAGAGAATAACAGGAGAGGGTTGTCAGTAGGATGGTGGTAATAGACAATAACAGGAGAGGGTTGTCAGTAGGATGGTGGTTATAGAGAATAACAGGAGAGGGTTGTCAGAGGGATAGTGGTTATAGAGAATAACAGGAGAGAGTTGTCCGTGGGATGGTGGTTATAGAGAATAACAGGAGTGGGCTGTCCGTGGGATTGTAGTTATAGAGAATAACAGGAGAGGGTTGTCCGTGGGATGGTGGTTATAGAGAATAACAGGAGAGAGTTGTCCGTGGGATGGTGGTTATAGAGAATAACAGGAGAGGGTTGTCAGTAGGATGGTGGTTATAGAGAATAACAGGAGAGGGTTGTCAGTAGGATGGTGGTTATAGAGAATAACAGGAGAGGGTTGTCAGTGGGATGGTGGTTATAGAGAATAACAGGAGAGGATTGTCCGTGGGATGGTGGTTATAGAGAATAACAGGAGAGGGTTGTCAGTGGGATGGTGGTTATAGAGAATAACTGGAGGGGGCTGTACGTGGGATTGTGGTTATAGAGAATAACAGGAGAGGGTTGTCCGTGGGATGGTGGTTATAGAGAATAACAGGAGAGGGTTGTCAGTGGGATGGTGGTTATAGAGAATAACAGGAGAGGGTTGTCAGTAGGATGGTGGTTATAGAGAATAACAGGAGAAGGTTGTCAGTGGGATGGTGGTTATAGAGAATAACAGGAGAAGGTTGTCAGTGGGAA